AATCAAAGTAAGAAGTTATGTCAATCTCATAAACCATTATAACTAAAATGTCCTTTTCAATTTCCATCAATTAAAATGACAGAAAAGAGAATATTTTTGTGGTGGGACTTAAAATTGGCATGGTTTGGCAAATGTTTATAGGGCATGGCCGCAATGGGACACGATATTAAAAATTACAATTATTTTTTGCTACTACTTAATTTAATGAATCAAAGGGCCTTTTGCTTAAACTCCCACGATATTAAAAATTACAATTATTTTTTGGTACGACTTAATTTAATGAATTAAAGGGCCTTTTGCTTAAACTTTAATTAATAATCTGCAGAAACTTGTTAATTTGTTTAATATATAAGATTAGAATATTTGACAACCGTATTGTGTAACTAGAACGAGGAGTACGTGTATGGAATTTTAACTAGAACGAGGAGTACGTATAAGTAGCCGATGCCTTCGGAAGATAAATTTATGAATCAACCACCATGTATTCTACTCATGCTATTACGTGATGAGTGCTAAAGGCGGAACACTAAGTAGTACACATGAATGCATGCATGTTAAGTCTCCAATTCATATTTTACTTGTATTATTTTCTTCATTTGTGCACTAACTCGCACCACGAAGAATATAATTTATTTGTTAAAAGCAGACCGCCTGAAAAAGCAGAGGATCCGAATACAATGTTTCTTTCTATTAACAATTGATAGACGTTTCAAGCAAAGAAAAAACAAATTGACAGATATATTTATTTTAATTTTCATTAAACCTCAAGGTTTCCTTCAATAATTATAAGTGGAAATAATGATTATGTGAAGCCAAAAACACAACTGACATTCTTGTAGGACTCTTGAACTAAATATTAAACATAAATGAGCATCATAAAAAAGAGAAAGGGTGTGATCCTCGTGGCACTGTGTGATTCTTAATTTATGTGTTATTATATAAGCAGATGTCAAAATTTAGAGCTCGTTTGAAAGTGTTTTTAAAATGATTGAAACCGTTTTTTATGAATATATTTTTGAAATTAATCTTAGTAAAAATCCAATTAGATCCTGTCAAAACACTTAAAGTGTTTCTTGTGAGAAATACATATATGATGGTTCTTCCAAAAATCACTTCATATGCTTTTGAAATCAAAATCAATTTCACCAAAACACTTTCAGTCATTTTAAAGATACTTCCAAACGTGCCCTTATATTTTATAAAATATCACTTAATAGCTGCATATATTATGATTTTAGTACATTTGAAACACAATGTAGCCGTGTGGTAGGTATACTGAAAATTTTCTAAATGCTAAATACCATATGGCTCCTTTACATGAGCCATTCATCGTTGCATGTCAACCACAATTTGACACCTTTAGAAAATGAATCAGTAACAATACAAAATGATAAGTTTATGAACACATGTTAAACCGTAGTTTGCATATAAAGAGAAATAAACTCCGTATGTACAAGCAACCAAATATTTTTGTCACGGGAATAAACTCTTCTGCTTGAGTATTTCTTTTTCTTGTTTGTTGCTCCGAAGAATTAAGCCCTTGATTTCTAAGGCATTTTAGGCTGCCCATAGCATATGAAGTGGATTGGCTTTGATTTGATATCCCACTACTTGAATATCACTCAAAACTAAAGGTACTTACCATTCCATCACATATGGACACAAAATTACATGAAAAAATAAAAAGAAAAAAGAAAGACGAATCCGACGTTTTCGACAAATAGTGTGAGTATGAAGCAGCTCATGTTCAGGAGGGAGCTGAACTAATCCAAAAAGCTAGGCAGATACAGAGAAACCAAACTTCTTTGCCACGATTTGTGTCCCAAACCGAGACAAACAAGATTGCAGCCTAAGCTTTGAGCTTAACCTAAAACCTAACTGCAACCTAAGATAGAACATGCATTATTATGTCCCTTCCAAGGCCTTGCCTACCGGACCTACGTAGTTCCTATGAATCCAAACTTCAGGAAGAACAAAAACAAACAAGAATGACCGAATTCCGCTGCTTGCTTTCCATGTTAACATAGAGGACAAAGCTAGTCCTACCTTTTGGAGTCAACACCAAGGCCACTTAGCATCTCTCCATGTACAAAAACGATCCCCGCTGTTAGCTATACATCCTTGACCATTTCCTTCAAGTTGCAGATTCCGTTTATCTTCACCAAATCCAACAGCCGGACAGCATTGAAGTTTTTCATCACGTACCAAAGCTTCCTCCCTATATGCAGGGTTGGAGTACCTTGGATGTTGGACAAATTAAACATTTTTCCACCACAGTTTGAAGGCCTGAGATACAAATGGTAATAGAAAAACATCAGTTGATTCAATGTTTGACGGATACGCATCCTGCTGACACAATCTCAACTTGGAAGAGTCCATTAAATCTTGAATTAGTTCCTAAGTTTAGCAACTGCATTTAGTAACCGAGCTTGCTGCAAGTAGTTACTCATGAGGGTTTTTTCTTTTAGTTAGATTACGAAGACCAAATAAAGCAGTATCTAACTATACTTACATGCCAATAAATCCACACTGCAACTTTATGCGGCATCAACCAGAAAAACAGTGCGTGATCAGATGCCGAAGTTGAGGATACCCTTTTGGCTTTTAGGGTAGCTGTGAAATAATTGCCAAGGTTTGGGTGTTGAACTGAAATTGAAACAAATAGATCATCTTCGGGAGCATTTGCCCTGATACTCCAATTCCCCAACATATCCTGCAAATGTCATAAGCGGTTTCTCAAAAGAGTCAAATTCTTTTTGCTTATTAGATTTTCGATTAAGTTAATATCTGCAGAATGCGCAAAGCATACAAACCATAAAAAAATGCATTACTTTTCAGTAAAACTCAGTTAAAATGGTTGATCACCACAGTTTGTCAATTCAATTAACCAGAGTTTTTAGAACACTTTTTTCCTATTGATGAGAATGGAATGTGTGAAATTCCTAAATTTCAACCAAGTACCAGCAAGAAAACATCTATCAGAAGCCAGGAATTACATTATTACTATAATATAAAATTTTCAACACTAGTTCAATTATATTCTCTTTGGGCACGATTATTATGAGACCAAGACGTTTGGCCAAATGCCACAAAAAGACTGAGGTGTGGTATAACCGTACAAGTAGCCGATGACTACAAGTCAAAGTAGTGTTCCGGACTTCATCTTGCCTTTCGGAAGATAAATTTATGACTCAACCACTATGTATTCTACTTAATTATGCTATTACGTGATGAGTGCCAGAGGCGGAAAACTGAGTAGTACACACTTGGTATATGACAAAACATTGACAAGAGTCGAGAGAATATTATAGTTTACTTGTTTCTAGAGAAAGCCTAATTAGTTAATAATGCGGTGGTAGGAAGTTCCTTAGCTCAACTGAAACGACAGCAATTTATGGGAGCCGCAATTTATGGAAGCCCGTATCGGCCGGGAGCTAGAACCGCAACAACACGATGGTCGACGTTGGATACAATTAACTTCAAAATCTGGTGCTTAATTATGTTAATTCTAAATTTCTTTGACCTTCGCCTCATCGTTAGCCAACTAATACATTGGTGAATGCATGCATGTTAAGTGGTGCATGCATGTTAATTCTAAATTTCTTTGACCTTCGCCTCATCGTTAGCCAACTAAGACATTGGTGAATGCATGCATGTTAAGTCTCCAATTCATATTTTACTTGTATTATTTTCTTCATTTGTGTACTAACTCACACCACGAAGAATATAATAATGGGAGTTTTAACGAAAAGTTCGCGGTACTGTTCATTTTAACGAAAAATCACATTTTTACACTAAAAATTCAAATCTGATACTACTCATTTTACCTTTTATTTTGTCCTTATGGTTAAAACTCAAAATTTTCAAATCATTTTCATTAGTTTTCTTTATAATTTATTAGTTAAAAGTAGCCCGCGTGAAAAAGCAGAGGATCCGAATACAATGTTTCTTTCTATTAAAAATTGATACACATTTCAAGCAAAGAAAAAAACAAATTGACAGATATATTTATTTTAATTTTCATTAAACCTCAAGGTTTCCTTCAATAATTATAAGTGGAAATATTGATTATTGTAAACCAAACACCACTAACAATCTTGTTGGACTCTTAAACTAAATATTCAACATAAATGAGCATCATAAAAAAGAGAAAGGGTGTGATCCTCGTTGCACTATGTGATTCTAAATTTATGTGTTATTATAAAAGCATATGTTAAAATTTAGAGCTCGTTTGAAAATGTTTTTAAAATGACTGAAATCGCTTTTGATGAAAATATTTTTGAAACCAGTCTTTAATAAAAATCCAATTAGATTTTGTAAAAATACTTGAAGTGCTTCTTGTAAGAAGCACATATATGATGCTTCTTCCAAAAATCACTTGATATGCTTTTGCAAACAAAATCAATTTCATGATCAAAATATTTTTGAAACCAGTCCTTAGTAAAAATCCAATTAGATTATGTAAAAACACTTGAAGTGCTTCTTGTAAGAAGTAGATATATGATGCTTTTTCCAAAAATCACTTGATATGCTTTTGAAACCAAAATCAATTTCACTAAAGCACTTTCAATCATTTTAAAAATAATTTCCAACGAGCCCTTATATTTTATAAAATATTACTTAATAGCTGCATGTACTATGATTTTAGTACATTTGTAACACAATGTAGCCGTGTGGTAGGTATACTGAAAATTTTCTAAATGCTAAATACTATTTGGCTTCTTTACATGAGCCATTCATCGTTGCATGTCAACCACAATTTGACACTCATAGAAAATGAATCAGTAAAAAAACAAAATGATAAGTGTATGAATACATGTTAAACTGTGATTTGCATATACAAAAAAATAAACTCCATACGTACAAGCAACCAAATATTTTCGTCACGGGAATAACCCGTCTCCTTGAGTATTTCTTTTTCTTGTTTCTTGCTCTGAAGAATTAAGGCCCTTGATTTCTAAGGCATTTTAGGCTGCCCATAGCATATGAAGTGGGTTGGCTTTGATTTGATATCCCACAACTTGAATATCACTCAAAACTAAAGGTAGTTAACCATTCCATCAAATATAGAAACAAAATTACATGAAAAAATAAAAAGAAAAAAGAGAGACGAATCCGACGTTTTCGACAAATAGTGTGAGTATGAAGCAGCTCATGTTCAGAACAGGACCTACGTAGTTCCCATGAATCCAAACTTCAGGAAGAACAAAAACAAACAAGAATAACTGAATTCCGCCGCTTGCTTCCCATGTTAACATAGAGGACAAAGCTAGTCCTACCTTTTGGAATCAACACCAAGGCCACTTAGCATCTCTCCATGTACAAAAACGATCCCCGCTGTTAGCTATACATCCTTGACCATTTCCTTCAAGTTGCAGATGCCGTTTATCTTCACCAAATCCAACAGCCGGACAGCATTGAAGTTTTTCATCACGTACCAAAGCTTCCTCCCTATATGCAGGGTTGGAGTACCTTGGATGTTGGACAAATGACACATTTTTCCACCACAGTTTGAAGGCCTGAGATACAAATGGTAATAGAAAAACATCAGTTGATTCAATGTTTGACGGATACGCATCCTGCTGACATAATCTCAACTTGGAAGAGTCCATTAAATCTTGAATTAGTTCCTAAGTTTAGCAACTGCATTTAGTAACCGAGCTTGCTGCAAGTAGTTACTCATGAAGGTTTTTTCTTTTAGTTAGATTACGAAGACCAAATAAAGCAGTATCTAACTATACTTACATGCCAATAAATCCACACTGCAACTTTATGCGGCATCAACCAGAAGAACAGTGCGTGATCAGATGCCGAAGTTGAGGATACCCTTTTGGCTTTTAGGGTAGCTGTGAAATAATTGCCAAGGTTTGGGTGTTGAACTGAAATTGAAACAAATAGATCATCTTCGGGAGCATTTGCTCTGATACTCCAATTCCCCAACATATCCTGCAAATGTCATAAGCGGTTTCTCAAAAGAGTCAAATTCTTTTTGCTTATTAAATTTTCAATTAAGTTAATATCTGCAGAATGCGCAAAGCATAAAACCATAAAAAATGCATTACTTTTCAGTAAAACTCAGTTAAAATGGTTGATCACAACAGTTTGTCAATTCAATTAACCAGAGTTTTTAGAACACTTTTTTCCTATTGATGAGAATGGAATGTGTGAAATTCCTAAATTTCGACCAAGTACCAGCAAGAAAACATCTATTAGAAGCCAGGAATTACAACCCCATTTATTCGGGGATTCCAAAAACCGCTCCTATCTTCCCTTATCCATCTGGCTTCAAAATGCATAACACGTTCCCTCTCCAGTCACAACACGGGAAGATCTTACTTCAATGTACCCTCAAAGATTCATTTTCTTTATTGTTTGCTACAATACATAACAATATGGTATGACATTTCCCAGTACCAATGTTTCTTTCTGAAACCTCATATGCTTCCCTTTCATCTATCGGGCATCTAACCATCTGAATCAGGACGCTGTCTTTCCAATCAATAAACGCCACCACCAAACGAATGATGTTACATTTTAACAAGGATATAGACGAATTCATCCATTTCAAAACAGAATCAGTTCAAATTAATCCCACTAAGGCACATCAAATTACTACTAAAAAACAGTAACATACCATGAAAGGGCTGACATGTAATGGTTTTGCCACTAAATCAGAATTTGGGTTGAACACAAATGTCACTCTTTCTCCCCATGGTGTGTTGGTTACCTAAATTCAGATATATATCAACATTCAACAGTAGGGTCAGCAGCGAATACATAAATCCGCACGCGTGTTAAACTGTGATTCGCAGGTAAGTTTTGCGATGTCTAATTAAACATAATCAAGCAGCAAAGTAAAAAAGCAAACCTCAGCAATGCACTTTTTCAAAAGCTGCTCACCAACATCATAACAGTAGTACAAGCTCAGTGGGTTCTGCTCATATCCCACGCTTTGCGGAATTGTCAAAAGCAAGCTGTTCATCAAACACCAAATTAATCAGCAAACGCAGAAATAATGATCCTGTTTAATTAACCAAAAGCAAAACCCAAGTGATAATTTAGCTAATAATTACGTTCGGCCACCGGTGCCTGCAATTCGGCGAGCTTCGTCGGCGGAGAGGTGGTTGGGAAGGGGTTGCGGCGTGTGGTCGAGGTCAATGAGCGCGTAGCGGACGGCATAGCGAAAAGAGTGGTGAACAGGACGGCGGCGCTCGTGCCAGACGGTGCCTTCGTAGAGGGAGGTGGAAGAGGAAGAGGCGGCGCATGAAGAGAAGCGGTGGAGGAGGGTGTGGAATGGGAGGAGGAGGGAGAGAGTGAGAGAAGTGAGGAAGGTGGAGAGGATTGAGCATAACAGATAGAATACCTCCATTGTCCACGCGCCTTTTTTCTCTGGATTTCTCCTTTATTTCCATTCCAGTGGACTAATTTGTCTGAAAATAATTATTTTTTTATTGGACAAAGGTGAAGAGACTATTAACAATGGAATTGGATTCCATCCGAATCCATTTTGTGGAAATTATAGTGATATCCACATCTTAACTATTTCATCGTATATCGTGCTATTAAAAATTATTTTATTTTTTTTATTTTAAATTAAACACAAATAATATCTTATGAAAGCTGACTGCACGATGTACGATCAATGACTAAGATGTGGGTGTAGAATTATCAGAGAAACGGGCCATAAGGCCCACTTCCAATAACACCGTTATTGTCCCCAACTTGGTAATTACCACCTACACAATCCATCAGGTGTGAGGTTTCATCACAAAAGACCTCGGTTTTAGTTGGAGTGCGGTTAAGATATTTAAAATCTTCTTTTCTCATTGATACGGTCGACATGGAACATTTCAACACGCCCCCTCATGTGGGACCTAATTAGTGGGTCACATGTGAGAGATCCACACATTGACAACCACATGGAGTCAAGAGGACTCACCTTCCAAGCAGGGCCAGAGGACTCACCATCATCGCGTGGGGCCAATGGGATCCACCCATGATGTGGTTGTACAGTACGGGGTCCGCTCCCTAGCTTTGATACCATGTACAATTATCAGAGAGACGAGTCATATGACCCACTTCCAACAACACCGATATTGTCCCCTGGCTCTGATACCATGTAGAATTATCAGAGAGACGAGCCATACGACCCACTTCCAACAACACTGATATTGTCTCCAACTTGGTAATTACCACCTGCACAGTCCGTCAGGTGTGAGGTTTTATCACAAAAGACATCGGTTTTAGTTGAAGTGAAACTCTTCTTTTCTCATTGATACGATCAATGTGGAACATTTCAACAATAGAAATTTCTAGAATCTTCACAAAATGAATTCGAAGAGGATTCTCTTCCATTAACAAGAGCCACCACATGTAACATGGGTTGACTTATGGGCCCATATATGAATAATTTGACTTATTCATTTTTTTATAATTACAAACATACATTTTAAGTCGACCGTTTAGGGATGTTTAGCTTAATAACACATTTAAATAAGATTTTGTAAAACAAGTAAAGTTTGTTTTGCTTAGGTCGACTCAGATGGTGATCCGGCCCTGCACGACTCATGTCCTAATAATTAGGGTTGCGAGCAGGGCTGGAGTAAATGTTTTATTAAGTGGATGGGCCCAACCATAATTAATCTATTAAGTGGGCCGATCGAAACACTGCCCAAATCCAAAAGTCCAGTACCAAGGTGGGCCGGCCCATTTAAACCCAATAAATTTTGAGCCGTCCGATTCCTTCAAGAAACATATCTTCAGTTGGTTAACCAACAAGTGCCTCAGTGCCTCACACAGCAACATCTTCAACGGCAACTTTAATTCACACCATCCAACAAGCTTCCCCGACATCCCGCACACCCACTCACAACCATCCACGTCATCACATTGCTCTAATATCGTAATTTCAGTGACCTTTTCCGCTTACGTGGCTGATTCTCTACAACCCTACTCCAACACCCGCATGCAGGGGATCATAAACCTAGATGGAGGCGATGAAAACTAAGCGGGACACACTGTGAGTGCACGAGTCTCTCTCAGTTAAATCGCCGAAACCATTTCTCAATCCCTCCGCCCAAATCCTTCATATAAGCTTCCTCTCCCGCTCCGGTTCCACTTCATTCGCTCCAATTTCCCCAATCGGTTCGGGATTTCTCGGAATTGCAGTGTCGAATTTCGAGAACGAATTCCGAATTTTCCCGATGGGCGCCGTCTCTCAGTGCTTCGGAGCTGCTGCCGCTCTCTCGGTCTCCTCCGTCAATTCCAGGAAGCTCCACCTACCTTCCCGCAGATCCTTCCCAGGTCGGCCGCCGTACTCCGCTTTCTTTGCCTTTCCGTCTCCGGCGCCGTTGATTTTCTTTTTAAAATTTTGCTAATTTTTGTGTTTTGATTTGATTCAGGGAGGAAAGCGAACTTCTTTGTTGTCAGATCTGACGCCGGGGTCAGCTCGGGTTCGAATTCGAAGCCTCGCCGGGCTGATCAGCTGATTACCAATGCTGTTGCAGTTAATCATCTTCTTTCTTTTCTCTCTTTAACTTTTGGAATTGATTTCGGATTTTGTTGTTATCTGAAATGCCTGGAGTTCTGAATTTAGTTGTTGGGTGTTTATCTTTTTTAGACCAAAGCTGATGGCGCTGCAGCTTCGACCGCATCGAAACCTGGGTATGTTTTTGTATTTGCTAATTTTTTACCTCTAGTTTTAGCTAAACTCGATACTCATACATAAATAGTTCACATTTTACCACTATTAACGTGTGGGTTATGTATGTAATTCAATGATGAGGAATGTTAGGATAGGATTCGACCTCGGGTGACTCTTGTTTCCGATTCATCATCTGAAAATTTTCGATTATATTTGGATGAATTGTGTGATTAATTTGTGTTTTGTATGCAATCAATTTTTTTTTTTGGGAGTAAAATAGAAGCTATTGTGGAAACAGGGTCTGTAGATATAAGATGTGAATCGCATTTATACCGCAGGTAATCGTGAAAATTTGAATCTTTTACATCAAGGCTTTGCATGCCTTGTAGTGAACTGTAATTGCAAGATTCAGAATGAAACCATGAATTTGTATTTAGAATTCATGATATTGTTGAGTTTGTGCAGCTTTTAATTTCCTTAATTAGATGAAAAAGATGGGTAGATACATGTCATACTGGATGTTTCTTGTCCGTTGATATCCTTTGAATTGGAATGTGTTGAATTTGTTGATAAAAAAGAAATGTATTGAATTCACTTTTAGTTTTTCTCTTTCCCCTGCATATTGTCCTATTCATTACTCGCTCTAACAGTTTCTTGTGAGTTGTCACTGTATAGTACTTGCATATTCTCTGCAGTTTTCTTTGCTTGAAATTGATTAGTGGTTATATAGTTCCTCTTATACTCATTGAGGTGTGAATTAATAAGACAAACATTCTTTCCTCAGGCATGAACTTCTGCTTTTCGAAGCCTTGCGGGAAGGATTGGAGGAAGAGATGGCTCGGGATCCCACTGTATGTGTAATGGGTGAAGATGTGGGCCACTATGGAGGATCGTACAAGGTGACCAAGGGCCTGGCTGATAAGTATGGGGATCTCAGGGTTCTTGATACTCCTATCGCTGAGAACTCCTTTACGGGTATGGGTATTGGAGCTGCCATGACTGGTCTAAGACCAATTATTGAGGGCATGAACATGGGATTTCTTCTGCTGGCTTTTAACCAGATTTCCAACAACTGTGGTATGCTCCACTACACTTCTGGTGGTCAGTTTAAAATCCCAGTGGTTATCCGAGGTCCTGGTGGAGTGGGAAGGCAACTTGGGGCTGAGCACTCACAACGTCTTGAGTCCTATTTTCAATCTATTCCCGGAATTCAAATGGTTGCATGCTCAACCCCTTACAATGCCAAAGGTTTGATGAAAGCTGCCATTCGAAGTGATAACCCAGTGATTCTGTTTGAGCATGTGTTGCTGTACAATCTCAAGGAGAGAATTCCAGACGAAGAGTATGTGTGCAATCTTGAAGAAGCTGAGATGGTCAGGCCTGGGGAGCATGTCACTATCTTGACATATTCTCGGATGAGGTATCATGTGATGCAGGCTGCCAAAACTTTGGTGAACAAGGGTTATGATCCCGAAGTGATTGACATTAGGTCATTGAAGCCATTTGATCTCCACACCATTGGGAACTCAGTGAAGAAAACACACCGCGTGCTGATTGTGGAGGAGTGCATGAGGACAGGTGGAATTGGTGCTAGTTTGACAGCGGCAATCACCGAGAACTTCCATGATTATTTAGATGCCCCTATCATGTGCCTGTCTTCACAGGATGTGCCGACTCCATATGCTGCAACGTTGGAGGAAGTGACTGTTGTTCAACCTGCCCAGATTGTGACGGCGGTTGAGAAACTCTGCCAGTAAGTAATTGCAGTAGCATAAGTTACCTCTCTTTCTGAGCAGCTTTTCTAGCAATCTCCAGTTAATTTCAGATTTCTTTAGCAGTATTGTGTTGCCCGAAAATTTGCAACTGTTCAAAGTGGTACAAGCTTGTTTGTTTTTATTAATCATAATCGCATGTAAGATCATGTTTATCCTGTAGAACGGTGCGAATAAGGATTATTGATTTAAATTTACCCATGTAATAGATAGGTCCAATTGCTAAATTGAGTGTGAGGTTCCAATCGTTTGTCTTTTTTTCATGACTTCTTGGTTTTATCTTTTTTACTTTGCTGTTTGGAATAATTGGTAAATCCCAGGGACGGTTTTATTCAAGCACTTGGAAATATTTCCTGAAAAAAGCACCATTCAGAAAGCGCTCATAGAAGCGCTTTTGATTTTTTCTGCTCGAGTAAACATTCTTTATCCTTGAGTTTTTGAACTTAATGGGCTTTCTGATAATTTGGTTGATAATATGGCAGCCCAAACTAGCTGTAAGATCCACTTAATGGGCAAGTCCTATTTGCCTTGCCCATTAGGCCTCCTTAGGGGGACTGGCTACGCTGGGATAGCAATCGCATTTTTTTTTTTTTTTTTTTTTTTTGGGAAACTGATAGCAATCGCATGTTTGGCGTGAGACAAGACTAGCAAAAATGACGCGAAGTTTGACTCGTGTTGACTAAACTCCTCGCTAAGCTCTGTTATGTAATCTAATCCTGAGTGAATGCTTGGTATTAGGTAGGACTATCCTCGCTTACAACTTCCATCCCCTCGCAAATAGCGTAGTTTGTCATAGCCTCCTGTTGCTGACTTATACATCGTCGTTTCGTCGATCTCCTCCAAAACCAGGTTAGACTAAGAGCTGCTGACACCCCAAATCTAAAACCCGCCATCAGCCATCTACATTTTTTCTTGTTCATATACTGGTTAGTCCATGCCAAGCTAATTCAGTTTAGTCCTTGAAGCTAGTCTAGTTCAAAATAGTCCAATACAACAAACGCACCTTTAGAGACTAAAAACCTAAGAACCACTTTGAGAAGTTGAATCCCCAATAATTAACATAACAATATTGTGGATATTATGTTATGAGTGTGGTTTGGATTTCGTTCTACAAATAAAGCGTACAAAATATCTTTTGGTAAAGTTTTGAAATGTAAGAAGTGTTCTCCTGGTCAGTAAGGGATCAAATAACGCACAATTCTTCACTCTCGATTTTGATCTTAACAGTTAACAGTTGAAATTAAATCATAAAAAAAAATTCATTTATAACATAGGATGTCAATTCCAAACATAAATGACCAAGAGAACAAGACTCTTGTAAGTTGTCAGAGTTCAAACTAGTTTTAACCGAAAGAACTACATAAGGATGTTCATGTTGATGATGAAGAGTTTAGGGGAGGAGAGACTACCCCATCTCAGGGCTAAGGCATATCATAAGTCTCTTTGAGGACTTACAAATGGGGTCTTAGTTCTTTTTTGATTTTTACAGATTGCCCACTTACCGGTAGTGGGACTCGAATCTAGACTTTAGTCTAGTGAAGAAAACAATCAGTACTAACTCAACCAACCATGGTTGGCTACACAAGAATATTCTCATACTTTTTATTTCGGATTTGTATTAAAGTTGTCAGTGATACCATGCATGTATGTGATTTTGTATCTTAATTAACATACCAAATTGACAACTGGGGATTATGCTTCTCATGTGGATTTTCATGCCCAAAATCCGGGAAATGAATCCTTCGACAAAAATGTTGTTAATTAATTGTATTATAATTTATAAATCCGCAACAAGATCCACCCATGTGGAATGGTTGGAACAAAATCAGACTCGCCTAGATTTCTATCAGTATTATTATTCATAACAATGCCATATTGTAATGGCTAACCAATGGGGATTACATTAATGGTATTGCTAGCTATTCAATTTGTTTGTTTCTATATTCCACTTATCTCAACTAATCTCCAACATACTCATATAAATAGAGAAGAAAAAATATATATATAATCTACAGACGTGAAGATAAAATAGTCAGTTTAATTTCCAAACTAATGAAAATCAATTTTAAAATTGCCACTAGCACTACAGTTTAGTTATATTTATTCTCCACTTGTAACTAGCTAACACTACATTTTAGTGATGTTATTCTCCATTTATAAGTGACAGATCTCAAGTTCACTTGTCATTGATACACCAAAATAGTACTCACATGTTCCTTTATTATTTTTTTCATTTTAAAAAGTGAAAGATGACTGTGTTAGAGTGCTAATAACAATTCATCAAATCTAATACAGTGAGAATATATTAGTGGAACTGAGTATGCCCTTAGAGGCAAAGAAGAGTGGAGAGTGATTGGCTTTCCTACAGAACAATTGACAGACATTTCAGCCAACTTGTATATGATGATGTTGATCCATATAAAAACATGCTTAAACATGTCCTCGTGGAACTTGTCACACATGAACATGGGCATGCTTTGTTATCTGCTAACATGTAAATCACATGCCTAGCCAGTAGTGTGATTAATCTTTGCATATTAGTTTCCTGCATAGGCAGATCAAGGAAACAAAAGAGCAAAAACCTTTAAGTTGAACCATATTCATGCATGAACATATCGATCAGTATACACATACAATAAATAAATATATATATATATATATATCAATATGTATATGGTGGGTGCATGGCATGCAATTTGTTGGGATCAAATGTTTTACTTTGTCTTCGAGTACACAAAATGGCTGTTCTTTCAGACATGGCGCCGTCTAAATTTTCATTTATAATTACAACCATGTGGAGGAGGAATCGAAGTTGGAATGTGGGGTGAGATTGCATTAGATTTTTAGATATATGATATGTTCGTTGTGCCAACTTTTGGCATTAATCTGTAGATATTATCATAATTATTGGATATGATTTGTTCTTTGGCATAACTTTTGGCATTTTTCAGCCGTTCATCTCTTAGTAAACGTGTTTCTTTTTCTGCCTCAATTTTGGGATCTGCTTAGATATATGCTCGTTAAAGAACCCTAGTTTTCAGACATCATGCATGCATGCTTGCTTTCCACACCTTGTAAATTAATGTCCTGCAACCTGCATTATTAGATCTTTCACTTTGCCCTGCTACCCGTAATGATCAACATATGCGCACCAATTAGTTTTGTCAATAATTGAAACCTGACTTGTTATTTGAACTGAATATACATATGAAAATTAATATTCTATCTTCTTTATCAAGCAACTGTCGTCCATGCGACTTTAATGGATCGTAACTTTTTCCAACAAAGTAAACTCTGTGCAGCACTACATCAAAGTCACTAATATTCTATCTGTGTAGGGGTATATATGAGGACTTTTGATAGTTGTAGTGAATGTTGGATGCATGTGGCTCTACGTGGAGGAGTACATATAGTGCATTACGCAGTAGGGCAATGTCACATTGTGGATCTGGGGAACCAATTGGAGCGTAACACCTTGACCCTTCATGAAAACGACTCTAAATATCCATATCGTCCCTCTTTCTGCATGTAGTCACGCGTTATTCTCTTGTAGTTGAGAATAGTGGCCCCGCAGATAGCAATCGGGATATAGATGGAGTCACTCACTGGCCGGAAAGCAACGTGATCAATTATTCTTTTGTAAGTTTCGAATAAATTTTCTGGGGATTATACATTGAATTGATAAATGAGTGGCCCTGGTATGTGACAAGTGATACACACGTTTGTGGATGTGAGAGAAATTGGGACTTGGTAGCATTTCCAGATGATGATTGTCCTTTACAACATATGTACCAACTGACAAAGTATTGATTTGGTACTGAGATGCTTTTATAAAAAGTGGATATAAAAAAAAGCTAAGCTCAAAAATATGTTTGGTAAATACTTAAAAACAGTTTATTTTCACATTTTGGATGAAAAAAAAAAGCTTAAAACATGAAGTATAAAAAAATGAGCTTATTCTCACAACACAACAGAAACAGTTTTTTTTCAAAGCACATCAATACCAAATCAGTCCTAAGATTGTTACTGTTTGTTTTCTGGCTCTGTTGTGGATGCTACGATGAATGATCATAGTAGAATCTATTTCAGACCATGTAGATGCCAAGTACACGATCATTTCTCCGAAACCCTAGACAAATATTTATTCTAGCTTGTTCAACACGTCACCCTGAAAAAATATTCGCTTAGTCTTAGCTAGTAAGAGGCAATAGTTAATGTTAGGGACATGCATGTCGAGTGCTTATGCCTAGCCTGGCAACAGAAATCCCACTTGTGCACAAGATCTGTTAACTCCTCAGACCATGGAGATGACTATATATATATATATATATCTCCTTGACACTGTTGGAAAAAAGGAAAAAAAAAAAAAAAACCTCTTATGCGCTTGAAGGGCAAACTACCTATGATTATCATGTTTGCTTGGCTCTCCAAGGTACTAGGAGACTTCTGAAATTGTTTATGTTTTCGCTCTTCTATATTTATTAGTCCCTTTTTTTTTCTCTTTCTTGTGTGTGTGTGTCTAAGATATAGACACGTACACAAGTCCGGATGTGTATATATAAAGCTCGTGGAAATCCGCATTGCTAGGATCTGCAATCACTTTTCCAGCAAAACATGCATGTTTTCATAATTGTAACTAATGACAATGATGATGATGCTGGTTGTGACCAGGATAAAAACATTCACCCTAGCTCATGTTTAGAATTGAACTGACTTTAAACTAGAACTATATACTGTAACATATATATGCCCTTTCGATGTACTCTGGAGCTAATGCCAAAGTCTTCAACGACGTAAATTACATATGACTGTAGAACCTGATGCGTTAATTGTTTACTTTGATAACAGCTTGAGACGTCTAACTCAAAATCAATTAGTACTAAAAAAAAAGACTGGGTGGTTTATATACTGTTAAAGAAGACTTAATTTTTTTTTTATGTGGAATATATGACTCGATCTCAATATGACACATGCATGCAGACCATGCAAGAAGGTTTATAAATAATTGAATGCTAGACTTAACAAAAACATTTTGAAGAGGCCTCTACTGCGAACACATGTCTCTAGCTGATCATGAGTCATCGAGCCATTGAGTCATGACTTATATATAATCACCAATTAATTTCCCAGATCCTTAGGTTTTTTGGTGACATGCAAGGGGTTTCATTTTCCTGGACCTTCTGGTTTGATCTTATTATATTATTCGGTGAAGGTATTTGGTTTACAAGAGAGAACCGATGCCAAA